AGCTGAAAAATTATAAGTGAAAAAAACGTGAAGCCATGGTTCATTTACGATCGCAAACAAATCAACCCTAAACAAACTGAATTATTTCACTGTTTTACAAAGTCGTTAAAACTTCTAATTCTGCAGTTTTTGTAAATGACTGTCACCAGTTAAAGCGTGAATAACTTCGACAAACGTTGCATCCTGTCAAACTGTTTTTAATATTTTCCAAATGACTGATTCAAAAAAAAGTACAGTACGGACAGTATGAAAGCTCCTAACAAAAAAATTTAAAAAAATCAATAACTTTCCTCTACTCATACGGTTTCGTAGATTTCCTAATATTTAATAATACTATTTTTAACAAAATCAACACTAACTGCACATTAAATATCCCTTTCTTACTCCTCTAAGAAATAACGCAGTTTTCTGCCGCTGCTATCTGTACAAATTATGTTTACTGAAACTTACTTTAGATCAATAAATTGGTAATTTAAAGGTGCAACACCGAAAACAATTCACAATGCCTCAGTATCAAAATCTACAAAAAAAATTTTTTAAAAAAAAAAAATGTGAACCTTCTTGGCGTTGAGACAAGAAGCACAAGATGCAATACACATCGGCAAGGTAAACAGCAATGTAGCTATCGAAGCGGCAAAAACAAGAATCGTTCCGACAGAAACCAAGGTGCGCACGCGCATTCCACATCTAAACATGTCATCAAAAACAGAAAACACTAAAATCGGGGCAAAAAAATTTCAATTTGCCTTATATATAACCATTATTTTTCATTGAAAACGATTAAACAGTGAAACGGCGAAAAAGAAAACTAAATCAGAATTTATATAAATTATTGATACGGAAAAGTTATGCTGTATGTTTAGAACACCAACTGTTTTCTGCTTTTTGTTAACTGTATCACCTATTCCTGTAAACGTTACTGAGGCGCCAAAAAAAAACTAGAGAAAGCGTAATTCACTAAAAATTGTGTTGATAACGACAAAATCACTACAAGCGTATTGAAATCAACCAAATAAACAAAGAGTAAAAGCCTTAAATTTAATCTCACCAGCTTCTTGCAAAAAATAACCAAAAATACTTCCACGCAAGTGCCTATTAAAGGGCACTAGTTAAATAATATTACTTAAGCAAGCATATCCAACAAGAAATTTTGCTTTTCCTTCTTTGAAGTAAAAGAGATGATGAAATTTGGATATGATAGAATTTTTTATTCTTTCTTTTCCTCTATTTCTATTACTCCTGGAAAACAGCAATTTCATACTATCTAACGTAGATAAGCTGACAAAAAAAAAAAGAGGACCGCTCAGGAAATTAGGTTAATTTAAAAGGAAGAAAAAAAGAGAAAGAATTAAAAAAAATGCTTTTAGCATTTAGCATTGCGCTCTATAATAAAACATAAAAAGAAGAGATAATAGTTCCACCAACAACAACCTCAAATTGATACTAAAATGCCAACTGGTTGACAGCAAATTAACGTGAAAAAAAAGAAGAATTAATTAGCAGATAGACCAATAATTACCGTACATGGAATCTAAGGTCAGAATAAATACGGGAAAAAAAGATGAGAAAAGTGGTGAACGTAAACCTCAAATCACAGTCAGGTCGCTGTTCGGGTTCCATTCTGGCAAAAATGTTGCTCACACAGGTACCGTAAGTGAAGAGTGTCGAATAAACCTCTTCGCATTCATCCTCACATCGTGATTTAGACGCCTTGTCGTGCGACGAAAAGTAACTGCAAAAATAGTGCCTCTCAAAAGCGTTTTCAAAAGAAAAAAGACCAAAAAATCTAAAAATTTTTAGTTGAACGAGAAAATGACTTTGAATTAATCCTTGATGCAAAAGAACTTTCAAACAAAAAGTTAGAAATTCAAAGATCATCTTCTGTCTCATATATCTCTATTTCCTTCATCTATTTTTTTTTTGAACTGTAACTAAAAAGTTTTGCTGAGGTTCGTGATTACGGAAGATGAAAAACAACCATGTACACATTTGAGCTACTCTTGACTATGAAATGAAAACTAAGAAAAAGTGTGTTTTGGCCGGTTTGAACAAAAAGTAAACATAGTTATATAAAATTACATTGCAGTGACTAATCAGCCTGAACAGAAGAGAAGAGTGGCACAATCTCCTCCAAAAAGGAGGAGACGGAGCACTGGTGGATTGATTTCAATATGGTGTTTAGGACGAATTTAGAACTGTTGATACTGCCATATTTTTTAAAAAGCCTTTGTTGTACATCATCAGCGTGTTTCCATTTTAAAACAAAACAATGCTGATGAAGTACAATGAGAGGATTCGTTGTTTGTATTCTTTTTTTGATTAAAACTAGGAAGAACAAGGAGATCTAGGAAGAAGAGGAGCAGAAGCAAAAACAGCTGGAAAAGAAGAAAGAAAGCTATATATAAGAAGTACCCGGGAGCGCATACGCAATTTTTTCCATTAAATATCTGATTAACAGAGCATACTGGTTGCGGATGTAGTTCCTGATCTTCTTGAGAAGCGACCAGCTGAATGCAACAGAAGACAACAAGTGTCAATAATGGGCAATGCGGCCGCATCGCTACCAATTGGATGTACGCAATACCCGTCAAGTGGTTTGGTTGCTGTTTGTTGGTAGAGAGAGTCCGTCGTCAGCGTATCTGCAATTCTCCAACCGAAACAGACAACGACGATCACGTCGACGGCAACGACGACGGCGACGATGAAGGGCGGAGTCGGTCTTCGATGTCCCCGCGCCAGATCCTAAAGCAGAAACGAATCGTTTTCGTCGCTCATGTACGCCAACGAAACCCGTTGCTTTCACCTCTTTAGGTTTTCTGCCCTTCCCCGCGCAATTCCGTTCGGTCTCACCCGGTAGTTACTAACTTCCTGAGAACATGTCCCACCCTCCCGCCCCCGTTACAGTTATGGCCGTAGCCTACGCCCCATTATTTGGCTGTTCGTATCGAAAACTTTGAAGGCGAGATGCTGATGCTAGTGGTGCTACTGCTGTCGCTGCAACTTTTGCCACCGTTTTTCCTGTTTCTATCCGATTCTCATTTTTGGTATTAGAAGCCGGTTTTCACTGGCAATTACCCGCATACCACACCGTACAGAAATACATTTCAACTCCTATCACAGTTTTTCTCCTTCCTACTCGGATTCTTGTAACCATTTTTGTCTTCTTACCATCGGTATAGTTTTCCAAGTGCTTTCTTGCTGCCATGTAAACAGAGACCCGTGACCACTAGGTTTTTACAGGTGCAGAAGCGAAGAAGGGAAAAAAAAAGAAAGAAACAAAAAAGATGGTTTTCGTTCATTTTTTCACTTCCCAGGAATTTCATGTTGTAAACTATTTGTCTGTTAATATTGCTTCGATCATCAGTTTCATTATGTACCATAGTAATTTGGAAAAAATTTTTGTAATGTAAACTTAAACTTACAAAATATTTCCTGTTCATTTTTCTTCATTCTCCTTTTAATGCGAAAAACAAACGAGCAGATCAGTAAAAGTTTTAGAACAAAATTGGTAGTGTTTGGAAGGCATTGTTTTTCAACTGCTGTGGTAATATTTGATTGGAATTCTTCGTTTACGCTGCGGCTAAAACCAAAAACAAAAATGCAGTTGACCTTTGATTTCTTGCCGTTTTGGTACTCGAAAACTTCTTTTCTTCTATTTTTTCTCCGCTCTTCTAGAAACAGAAAAAAAAAAATTTAGTTGTTCTGCAGAAGTTATTTTTCAACTTTTTTAAAAAAAATTTGCTTTTATACTGAAGAGTGATAACGTTTCGAAATTTTAAATTAAAACGTAAATTTAAAGAAAGAATTGAAGAGAAAAAAGTGATTCATTTCGCCGCTTTTCCGATTCATCTGTTCGTTCAATTTGAATAGGTTTGATGTTCTAGGTAAATCGATTATTTTACTTGAAATCTTACAAGAAAAAACTCTGAGGACGAAAAAAAGTTTTGCTTTGTAGATTTTATACTGTTTTACGTTCTCTTTCCCCTGTCTACTATGCCCGCCGTTTTTTTTCTAAGTCGTTGTTTTTGCCTGTGCAACTAAATTTGTTCAGAAGCCGTTGGAAGAAGAAGCCAGACGGATACCGCTGCAAGATTAATGAGGTTTAATCACCAGCTATTAGGCAACGTCTTTAGTAGTAAAAATAGATGGATGTTGCTGAGGTCCCTACAAAAAGTTTATTCAGGGGCACAATTTTATTGGGAATTTTTAACTTTTATCGTAGTTTTGCTGTTTTATCTGATGTTTTTTCTGGAAAGAATCCTTCTCTTTTTCTAGCTGCTTATTTTGATTTTAAATGTGAAGAATTGAAGAAAGTGGCAACGAAGAAGAGGCGTTACGTAATTTTCATGTTGCAAATAAGAGAAGGAAGTTGTTTTGATGAATAGAGAAAAGACGTAAGGCTTTCTTTCCTTATACCGTCATGCTTAGAATTCTAATTGTATAGCGGTTTTTTTGACAGTTTTTATTTTTCTCTTTCCTTCTAACTTCACCTTACTTTTATATTGGCTTATGATTACATTGTACTTCATCCTTAAAATATTCCGAGAATTTTTGTATCATTTTATTTCTGAAATGAAAAAAAAAGGAGACCAAAGAAGAAAAACAATTTGTTAAAAAAAAAGAGGAAGGTAAACAAAAGAAAAAAGAAAGAAAATGAGATAGAAGGAAAGTGAAAGAATTTTCGCAGAGATACCAGAACAAAATGGCCATTTACAACATTTAATAAAGAAACTGCCTCGTTGAACAAAAATCAAGTTTTCTTCCAAAAATCAACTGTTCTATTCCGTTAGAGCGTATCTTAACTTCCCTCCTATTCACTATCTTCTATGGGCTCTCCGCCTTTCAACTAGGTGTCTTTTCAACTGGCTCACCAACAGTATTGCGTTTAAGCGCTGTAAGTAAACAACGGTTAGCTGTCAGTGATTCGTTTACACGGCATACGAAAGCTGTCTTCATGTTCTGTTACACGAGCACATCGTAATCTTTAGATGGACGACTTTTTGTTCTTAGTTTCAGGGTAATCTAAGGAAATAATCATAAGAGCAGGTGAACGATAAATTTTTGGAAAGTAATAATAAGTAAAAAAATGAAAGTTATTTGCAAGAAATTTTTACATTTAGAAGCGTCGGAGTAAAAAAGCAGTTTTTTGGTTGAACAAAATGCTTGCACGATTGAAAGAGACTCATTTTAACCCAGTGGAAAACTTGTCCTAAACTGCACTGCAAAAAACGATTTTTTCAGAAACCACAATTACAAGTGATTGTAATTAATTTTTAAAGCAGACGAACTTCACCAATTCTTGTCATCATGGTCGTTGTTTTCAACGCCAATTGCGCATATCCTTGCTTTAAAACACTGGGACAAACAAGATAACAAGAACAGAGGCATTACTATTAATGAAAAAAAGGTTAAATAGAAAAATTAATGGTAAAAGAAAGAATTCTAAATTTGCAGAGAAAGACTGTACTGTTTTAATATTATTAATGAAACAAATAAATAAGCACTACAAATGGTCTTCCGTTCGTTCAATGTGATTACCTCAAATAATCATTTAAAATAGATTACTGTTCTTGCACGTTGTTGTCGTTGCCGATCATCTCGGTCGTTTTCATCATCAATGCCGTGATTATCAATATATTTTGCTTGGTGATCTATAGCGGATTAGGGTTAATCAACTGGTAACACAAAAAATGAATTATTTGTGTTGGTTAGTTAAACATTTAATTGATTAAAATATCAGCCAACTTATAAAATATCATTAAACCTATTGCCTTCTTTGGATGTTGTTAATTATAGTAATTTGTAAAAAACGAAATGTTTATGCGTAATTTAACGACTAATGGTGCATACGTTATTACACAACTTTTAGAATTTTTTCCCGACATGTTCCATTCATCTGTTTCACATCCGTCTGAATTAAAGTTGCAAACAAAACAGCAAAAATTTCAGCATTACAATTACATGCTGTAATTAAATATGTACAAAACTTTTTTGGTGCTGTAATTAAATATGTACAAAACTTTTTTGGTGGTACTGCTGCTAATTTTGTCAAGTTGAACAGCCTGACAGTTGCCTAAGATGGAAAGACAGTAGACCAAACCAGTTTTTATTTTGCAAAGTACTTCTAACGCAAATTTTTTGTAAACTGCGTTTTTCCTGTTCCTCGGTAACACCTATCTAATGAGATATCCAGAAAACCAAACAATTTCTACCGTTTGATTGAAAAATCAAAACTTCAAGATTGAATAATCTGTACATCTGAAAGTACGATTTGGACGATAACTCTGTCTAGCAAACAGTTAACGATAACTGTGGGGTTCTAGAAAAATCGTATACAGAGATTGAAACACCAACTGCTGTTATTGGTCCAAAGCTATGTTTTTACTTTCCGTTTTATTGTAGCCTTTTTTGTTTTTCAGCCAGCAATTGCATAAACATATAACATATAACATATTCAATTTTATTACTATTATTACTATTATTGTCATTATTACTGCTTTTTTTACTACCACCATCGTTATTAACACTGTCCCTTTTTTCTTCCTCATTATTGTAATTATTATTAATTGTTAATTGTTAATCGTTAATTGTTTGTTGTTTATTATTTATCATTTATTATCTATTGTTTATTATTTTTATTTTTATTATTAATTTTATTACTGTTGCTATTATTATTTTCATTATTATTTCCATCATTACTTTTTTTTGTTATTATTACCGTCATTATAATTGTTATTATTACTATTTTTTCGTATAAAAACTAGTACCTAGTGGAAATATGCCTCGTTTTTCATTCCCTTAGCATAACTCTTGTTTATTTGAAACCGTTAGCATTGTTATTTCATTATGATAGCTATAAGGAGCGAGGTTAAAGGGGAACAGATGGATAAGTCAATGCTTGTTTGACAGTGACATTTTCGACGCCTTAAAAATTTACGGATAGGATAAAGATGAAATATTTATCTTTTAATTTAAAACGGAAAAATGCAACAAAAGTAGCGGCAACGGATAAAAACGTGACTAGAGTTAACTAATTTATTTTGAATATCATAAACATTACTAACTAATTGACCAGCCAACTAACTGGTGACCTCTGGTCTATGGTCTATGTTCTTCACATATTATGTCTCTCTCTAGACAGAATCATCATTTGTTTCATTTCTTTCAGAAATGCCGAAGAACAAAAGTCAATTGCTTTATAAGTTCTGCTTTAAAAATAATAATCTTTTCTACCTTTTTATCTGCTGCATTTTGTGCCGTTTAACCTTTTATGGACTTCAGATGTACAGTATTACCAAAAAAAGTGGGGAGTGGGCACTAAAAGTATTAGTAATATTTCCTTTCTTTGTTTTGGTCGAAAATAACGATCGTCTTTTGCGGTGAATCAAAACCATCACTGGGCAGAAACATCAAAAAACTTTTTGTTTTATTTAATCACTTTTACTGCTATAAAAAAGGAAAAAAAGCACCAGTATTATTTCTCTTTTGCTCCTATGAACATTCTAAGAAGCTCAAATAGAAATACAGACACATGCAGTAAATCGCTGAAGACTTTTTT